ATTGGACATGATCGTAAAATTGAATGGCAAAAAAGTCAACTGTAAACTTTCTTCGAGCGCGTAAATTCACTTTATTCTACGAATCATGGATATTACGGATTACATGGATATTACTATACAATCAAAGGATTAAAGAACTAAGTGATGACAGATAAATGAAAGAGTCTTACGTCATTGAAATTCTTTATGTTATACAATAAAAAAAAAAGTCTATTACTAGCCAACATACCATGAAACAACATTCGTATACTCTATTTTTTGTTATGTTTTGTTTTACATTGTTTTTGTTTTATTAAACAAAATTCTATAGTCCAATTAGGCCAGCGAGACAAATTCCTTTCTTCAAAGGACTGCCACGAAGGCACCCTTCTACTGCACGTGGTCTCTCTGTGTGTCAAGGTCTTTCTTAGATTCCTAAAAGAAGCCAAGATCGATCTATAGAAAATCTCAACTCGTCCTAGTTGGTCTCCGCTTTCAAACGAATTCCAAACTGTCCATTCTGTAGAATATATGTATGTATGTAAATATGATTTAATCACCTTGACCGTCATTCCAATTTCTTTTTACATATAATCTTTATCGATCGTGTTACATGTCTTATTATAGATAAGAGAAATCAAACGAATTCTTTCGCCAAACTTAAATCTATTTTATTTATTAAATATATATGTAATTTAATGTAATTATTCCCACATACTTTAACTATTTTCTCTAACCGCTAATAAATAAAACGACTTACGATTGATCATAAAAATACACAAAATCAAAATTGACGTTCGATTAATTCAAGATAATAAATACGCAGTTATTGATTAAAGTGAAGAAGAAATAACCGAGCACGATGCATAAATGACTATGATTATTGAATGTTAAATGAAAAGGAAACGAAATAAGCTTAACAGCATGGATAGAGAGAAAGGTGAAAAGAGATAGAGAGAAAGAGAGAAAATATAGAATAGAAAGCAGAAGTCAGAAAGGATGTATTCGTCAGGTCGCACGAGAGAAAAAAAAAAGAAAAAGGAAAAAAAGTGATCGCCGAATTTTCTGTATAACCAAATGGGACAGCTTTTTGTCTTCTAGAAAGTTGTTGGAAAGAGATCTTGGAATCGAACGTTGTTATCCCAACAAGGTTACCAGACCGTACGACGAACCTGTGACGATCAACAGCTCTATGTTCGGCCGGAAAGAAGAATGAGTGAAATAAAAAGGGAGAGAGAATTAATAATAATACATGGTAAACATACTTCATCTATTTCGTAAGTCGTTGTCGCGTTTAATCGATGAATCATCGAGAAGCAATCCATCATGCTTTCTCCGTGAAATATGATGGAGATTGAAGAATATATGCCAGGAATACGATGTTATGTTTAAATCGATTATAAACATCTATGATCTTCTTGACTTGGATCTATGTATATATATATTAGGGTGGGTCAAAAAAATGACATTTTTTTTTTCAAGTGCCACGGAAAAATGGGTTGCTAGAAACCTTAAAAAAATTCTCACCAAATATGAGCTCTTAATTTCAATAGGAAGATCCTCCGCATCGCAGTTTTTTATTTTTTTTTTTTCAGTCTAATAGATTAAAATTCATACCTCATCATTTATTGATTGTACAGAAAAATGTTTTAGACGAATTTTGTAGGAAATTTAATGCTCTACAAAAAAGGTATCTTATATTTTTTCCGTAAACCTCACCATTTGAATGATATTGAAGATTTAAATTTGATGATTTTTAGACAAATTTCATTTTTGTTTATGAATTTTATAACTCTACAATAAATGACTATTATAAGATGCGCAATACAAATTTTTGTAAGAAATTAACTGCTCTATAAAAATGGTGTCTTATGTTTTGGTGATTAAATTAAGCGTTCAAAAGATATTCATCATCAAACTTTCATGTGTACTAATTTTTGTTTCTGAATATTTGTCTCATATTTGGTGAGAATTGTTTTAAGGTGTCTAGCAACCCATTTTTCCGTGGCACTTGAAAAAAAAAAATATGTCATTTTTTTGACCCACCCTAATATATATATATTATCACTATGATTAACGAATTTTTAATCACGTCAATTAAACTACGCAGTATAGGCAGGTTACGTACGCAGCGTGTATTTCTAGATTACGTCGAAATGAGAATAAAGGGAATAATGAAAGAAGGGGTTTGTACGATCGCTGAATAAAATAGCTCCGTTTATTTGATTAAGTCCCCGCGGAGCGCGTCCTCCTTTTCTCAGAGCATGATACATAAGTATAAGTATACAATATATATACATATA